GCTACTTTTGTCAAAAGCACATCCAACAGCAAACACACACCTCCACAGTAACAACTTACACATCTGTTGCTTACAGCCGTCTAACCTTGTTAATAAACTGCATCGTTAAGTGACTTATTTATATGATAGAATCCAGGATGGAAGCACAGCGACCTTTCTGCCGCCATATTTCACAACAGTCTGCATTTCAACTACTGAGCATGTAGAAAATTTCACATTTCAAAGAAAGTGCAGACTCTGCGCTCATGATTGTGGTTGAACTTGTCAAAAACGTCTCATGTGCTGCCCACTTTTAAAGGCCTTTTTCCATCTCTTGTACTTTCACCTGAACTGTGTCACTTTTTGCAAACAGTGTCAAATTATAATTTCATTTAAATATTGGTCCTATTTGTCCACTTCCAGCCTCACAAAGGCAGCAGTGTGATTGTTTTTAAAGACTACAGTAGTGATCAGACTTCAGCCAAGACTAACTCATACAGACTGTTTTTAACTTTAAAATTTCTATTTGTTTTTTATGTATTTGTGTATGTTTTGGTGTATAATGCCTGTAATTTAATATAAAACACTGACCATGGTGATATTAACATGATATCTGTTTGTTATTATCTTTAAAGTACAAGCAAGAGAGACAGTTCATGCTATGAATCTTCATTGTTATGCTTTTATCTTAATGCAGTACATTTATATTAACTATTATTCGTATGTACTTGGTCTAGAAAGAGGGAAACTGTCCATTTTTTTAACACAATGAAAAGGGAGATTTGCAGCATTGTGTAGTAACTGAGAAATGCTCAAAAACTCCTCTCATGACCTCACAGATCCTCTCAAGAAAAAATCTTTCTTCCACCATTGGAGATTTGAGAAACATCAGAACGAAAGCAACTTCATATTTTTTGCAATCAGATTTTACTGTGAACCAACTCTGAGGCTGCAGACTCCAATGGGATTTTTATAATTATATTTTTTTTCCAAATCCAAAGTCAACGTAGTTTCAAAAAAAAAAAAAAAAGCTGTCCTGTGTTTCTGAATCACAGACACAGTATTGATGATTGATTGATGTCCAGCGTGGTAGAGTGGAAGTATATTTACAGTGATGTACAACTCTGATGCACTTTTCTTCAGTATTCTCTTTTCATGCAACTTTGTGTTTCTGTTACACTATATTCCAGAGAAAAACTAGATTTTTTTGACAGCCAGAGGTTGAGATGAGTGACAAATAAAGGGAAAAAAAAGTCAACACAAAGTATCTCAGAAAGGTGTTGGGCCTCCAGAATAGCTTAAATGTATTGATTTTACACATCCAGCTCTACTGGACAGATAGAACACCATTCTTATGATGTATATTGATGATGGTGGAGGGTGCTGTTCCACGTATCATCCATCCGCCTCATGTTCTACAGTCGTTCTCAAATGTATTCATATCCTCCCATTAAAGAAGAAAAAAAAACAGCTGTCACTGAAATAAGTTGAAATTGACAAAAGTAACAAATACAAATTTAGTGAACACCATGACATTGCTTTTGAATTGTGGTTCAACAGAAATATATATTTAAAAAAAAACAAACAAGCATGATGGGACCCATAAACTAATGTTTTGTTGAACAATCCTTTGAGCCAATCACTGCAATCAGGTGTTTTCTGTAACTCTATGTCAGACTTCTGTTGACAGCTGTTTTGATTTTGACCCACTGCTCATCAGCAAAGTGCTCTAATTTGTCCTGGACAGTTTTGTTTTCTGTTTTTTAAATTATTCTTTTCAACCACAATTCAAAAGCAATGTCTTATTCCACTAAATTATAATTTAGCAAATTTTTATTTATTATTACTTTTTTCAGTTTCTAGTTATTTGAGTGACTCTTGAGAATTTTGCCTTTTCTTTAATGGAAGGGGATGAATACATTTGAGGACAACTGTTAATCTTTCTCAACAGGTCAGCTGGGTTAAGATCAGGGGACTGCAAAGGCCAAAGCATATGAGTCACATAAAACTATTTAGTCACCCTTTGTGCCCTATGAATGGGGGCACTGTCACCCACTGTCTTCAGGATAACAAAGCTACTTCATAAGATAAAGGTAATCATTCAAAACAGCTTTGCAGGGATT